TCTCTCTCTCTCTCTCTCTCTCTCTCTCTCTCTCGCGCGCGCGCGCGCGCGCGCGCTATCGCTCGCTTGCTTGCTCTCTTTAATAAAGAGTAAACTCAGCTGTGCTGTCTATACTACTGTCGCTCTCCGAAACAAAAGTACAATGGAGAATGCCTTCTCCTCAACAATGGCGGCTCTTCTTTCCCCCCAACAAGTCATTTTTCCTTCCGTCTACAAAGAATACTCCTTTCTCCTGACACCTATACATACGCATAAAATTGCCTTATCCCTCTATTTCGCTTCCTTTCTCTTCCTCTCTTTTTCCTCCTCCTTGTTCGTCATCTCTACTCCTACTCTTGCTGCTTGCATTATCTTCCGAGCTTCTCAACCTCCTCCTCCTCTTCCTCTTCCTCCTCCTCCTCCCACCTTCCCTCCTTGCTCTCCTTTCCCATCCCCTCTCTTGCTAGAGCCACTCTTCTCCTGTCACTGAAGGACTTGGAAGTCGTCGCACACTCGATGATACCCGAGCATTCGGCGGGAGGAAGCATGGACTCCGCCAGAAACGCGGCGTTGAGCGCCGCTCTGTTTCGATCTATGGCTATGGCTTCCATCTGCTCGCGCTCCTTCTCCTCCACCTCCTCCTCCCTCTTCTTCTCCTCTTTCCCCTCTCCGTCCCTTTCATCCACTCGACGAGCGGCGTCCACGTGGCAGGTCGGCGCCGCCGCCGGGGTATCCCGATGAGGCGACGTCAAGGATCCCGGCCGTTGGCACGCTCGCATCGTCTTGCAGTGCTCCGCTTCGTCTGCTCGGATATTGACGAACACGTCGTACAGATTGGTTATCTTGGGCCGTCGGGACTCTGGGACTTTGCTCGTCTGGAACTCGTCAAACATGTACAAGTCCCCCTGAGTGTAATATCGCACAGCCACCTCCGGGGCCGGCAAGGTCTTTAATTCCTCCCCTTGCTCGCTGATGAACTTATCGTACGTGGCAAAGGCGTGGCGCTCTACCACTTCTTGAAAGTGGTAGGCCATCCTCGGACTCAAGAGATACATCAAGGCCGTCATGAAGTAGTACGCGACGGACACGTGTTGCGCTAGGAATCGATCAAACCACCTCTCATCTCCTCCCAACTCCTCCATCACCAAAAGATGATGAAGCTCATTCCAACTCTCAGCGAAGTGAACCTTCAGGTAGTCCGCCCGCCGCCACCAGCCGAAGGTCTCGTACAGGTGCAAGACGGACAAGAATGCGAAGTACGGAACTCTGGCAATGGTTTCCAGGACGTAGAAGCGAGCGTACGGACGGTCGGCGTACAGCACATCCAGCGCTTGAATGACCACCCCCGTCGCCATCACGTTGAAAAGCCGCTCGGCGCGCACTACCGCACGCGTCAAGCCATCCTCCGGAAGCTCTTCGGGCGGCAATTGGAACCGTTCATCCTCCCCCTCCCCTTCTTCTCCCTCCTCTCCTTCTCTCTCTTCTTGCTCCCACACCTCCGCCTCCTCCTCCTGCGTGTCTTCCGCGTCCGTCTTCTCCGACCGCGACGATGGCGCTGCTACTCTGCAGATCCCGGCCGACACCCTCTTCTCGGCAATCCCGATGGCGCGCGAGCAGCCGAAGAAGACAGCGCCATCTCCACCTGCCGCGCGAACAGCGCTGCTACTTTGACACGCGCAACGCGATTTTGATTGGCATTGCGGCGGCGGCGGCGACAGCGCTGCGCCTCCGCGCGTCTCCCCCCTGCTGCTGCTGATCGGTCCTACCTCGCCTTTCATCGCCGCATTCGTCCTCCTGCGGAAGCTTGCGGAACACATCGGAGATCGACCCGCCGGGTTCGTCCTGCTGCCATAGCAATCGCCTTCGCTTGCCGGGATCCCAATCGCGGAAGTCAGCGGCAATGGATCAGGCAGCACCGAAGACGAAGACGAAGAAGAAGACACGTGGCATCGACCACACCACGACGACGACAACGAGGTCTTCGCCTTCGTCTCAGTTGAGAGAAGATGACGGCGATCAACGCACAGACTACTCGCTATTGGCCATCGGCCGCCATAGCCAGGAGCTTGAAGAGAATCCGACGCAAAGGACCTCGAACGAGAGAGAACGGCGATGGCTGTCGAATTACAGGTTCCGGCGGCGGCCATTGCGATAATCCTCCACGTGGCAAGCACGCAGCGCCTGGGCTTCACACAGCTAAGGTTGTGACAGGTCAACAAATTGCCGCCACGTCACTCGATCGATTTGCTACCCGCGTGCGCCGCACTCCGCGACCAATCATCAATCAATCGGAGCCCGCCGTTCGGTCTGCTGTCATCATCCGCCCGACCAGCAGTATTGCGTAGCGACGACGTGTCGCACACGGGCGTCGCTCATCCCATCCCGCCGTCTTGTCGCTTAGGGCCTCGTCGCTCATCCCATTCCGCCGTCTTGTCGCTTAGGGCCTCGTCGCTCATCCCATCCCGCCGTCTTGTCGCTTAGGGCCGCGCCGGCGCCGCCGCCGCCGCACCGCTCCGCTCACCGAAGGTGTGAAACTGCAGAACGTATCTTCGGCTTGCACGTGGCAAGATGCATCCGCCATAGTTGTCTTTTTCACAATTGGTGCAGCGGTGGCAGGGGCGCCGCTGGCCTTATAGCTATGCTTCCCCGCTCGGTGCGACATCAGCCTTGATTGGCCCGGCGCAGTGCGGCGCGGGCACGATTGGCCAGCGCGGGGTGCGACGTACGTCGTGATTGGCCGATTCGCCCGCCAACTGAATCTCCGCTTCTAAGATATTCTGCTGCTGACGTGCCACGTCTAGAACCTATGGGATTCGGCCGCGCCTACGTGTGACAAAAGGTTGCGCCTTTGCGGATTACCTTTTTTCTCTCTTTTTTGTCACTTTTTGCCACGGCAATTGTCCCTTTCCCTCTTATGCCGCACCTTTTTTGCTATTGCCGCACCTTTTTCGCTATTGGTGTGAGCCCTGTGGCGGCCAAGGCCATGAGTCTCGCTCCACGACACTACCTAGACTCTAGAAAATAGTCTAGAGTCCATCTAGAATTGTCAGACTCTAGAAAATAACGAAAATTTAGACCTCGCTCCACTTACACTAGAGGGCGCTACTCTATACGGACTCTCTAAGGGCATACTCACAGGGGGACCTATATTCCCAAAATCCCAAAAAGAAGGGGAAAAGGCCCGTCACACGGATCTACCAAATCCGCATATGTACTCTTCCTGTGCCCATTTGTCAGCAGACCTCACGGGTGCGCAGCCCGTAGTTCGTTTGTTGATGTGGTTCGGGAAGCGTAAGGTAGTGATGTTGTATGTATGTTTTGTCATGTTCGATATACACAACTCGAAGAGAGTGTGTGTGGGGGGTCCCTGTTGATGCCTTATTCACGATGTTCATGGGACACTGGACCCAGTTTCCAGCAGGTGGGGCTCCCTATCAATAGACAGGAGAATGTGTGTGTGTGTGTGTGTGTGTGTGTGTGTGTGTGTGTGTGTGTGTGTGT